TTTAGGGCAAGAGGGGTGTATGACCACATAGTCCATCAAGAATTGATAGCACCCACTATTGGCCCATGGTCATGTCAGCTCTATTTTCTCTAAGTGTGTTCTTATGAACATCTCTTGTGGGGTACTCAAGAGAAGACTGCTTAGACACAGTTTTAAGCCAACAGAGGGCCAGGAGAATGAATAGAAATATGCAGCAGTGTAGGGGTGGAGACTGAGGAAAGCACTAGAAAGTCCCAGACACCAGTGATGTGAGAGGTTCCCAGGACTCAATAGGGATGACATTAGCTGAAATGCCCAACAAAGGGGAGAGAGAACCTGTAGAGACCATATCCAGTGGTTAGGCATGGCCCTCGGTTCAGGGTTGGGGACACCCACCCTTTTCAAAAAGATTAACCCAGAATTGCTCCTGTCTAAAGGAAATGAGGGAGAAAGAGTGGAGCAGAGACTGAAAGAAAGGCCATCCAGAGACTGCCCCACCTGGGGTTCAATCCTATCTGCAAGCAACAAACTCAGACACCATTGCTGATGCCAAGACATGCTTACTGACAGGAGCCTGGTATAGCTGTCCCCTGAGAGGCTCTGCCAGAACCTGGCCAATACAGATGCAGATGCTCACAGCCAACCATTGGATTGAGCATGGGGACCCCAATGGAGGAGTTAGGGGTAGTACTGAAGGAGCTGATGGGGTTTGCAACCCCATGGGAAGAACAATATCAACCAACCAGATCCCTCAAGAGCTCCTGGGAACTAAACCACCAACCAAAGAGTATACATAAAGGTACCCATGGCTCCAGCTGCATATGTTGCCTTATCTGGCATCAATGGGAGGGGAGGCCCTTGGTTCTGTGGAGGCTTGATGCTCCAGTGTAGGGGGATGCTAGGGCAGTAAGGTGGGGCGTATGGGTAGGTGGGCAAGCAGGGGGAAGGGAGAATGGAGTGGGGTGCTCATGGAGGGGAAACTGGGAAGGGGGGGACATTTGAAATGTAATGGTAATGATAATAATAATGTCTTTAGCAGCTGGACAGAGACCACACTGGGTGTTTGGAATTCCAGTGTAGTTCTGAGTCATTTTTAGGGTAAAAATTTAAACACACACACAGACACACACACACAGACACACACAGACACACACAGACACACACACACCCTGTATTGACAGTTAACAAAAACAATTAGCCAGAATTCAAACTACAGAAGCCAAAAACAAGATTAGTATATTTAGAGACTTTTCCAGTACTATGGACTTTGATGGATTAGGTCTTTGTTTTTGTTTTGGCAGGTGGTACTATCTACATGTTGAGTTTTACAGCCTGAATGGTACTTCCATCATGCAGTCAGTTGTGCTAAGCTATCAGATCTACTAAAGTCTAGGGGCCTGTTACAGCTAGAACTGTGTGAACCCTCTTTCCCAGGGACAAAGTTGACACAAACTTTTTCCTTTTCCAAGAATGAGATTTTTTGGAAATTAATTTCTGGGGATGACTTTTTCACTAGTCTAATTGTGGAAGTAGTTGTGTCTTCAGAATACCTCCAGACCTGCCAGGATGGTTACTATAAAAGACTAGAAAACAGACAAAGGAATTTCCCCCAAGCTTCCAACAGAAATCCCAAACTGTAAAAATCATCCCTCTGTCTCTGTCTTTGCCACCAGAGTGCTGAGACTAAAATAAAAGCTTGCTCCATGATGCCCAGCCATACTGCAATTTGTGAAGTGGAAGGAGATGGGGAATGCCAAGAGCTAGAAAGGAGTCTCTGGCCATGAAGCTCCTTCTAGCTCAATAATGCTTGGGGCCAGCCCCGGCTTGGGGGGGGGGGGCTGAGAAGTCTTCTTCTTTCTTCTTCTTGTCAGTTCTTCTTGAGGCAGCAGAGGGGAAAGAGCGTCAGCGGGGGTAAGACTTGGTCTTACGAGATATTTAGGGTTGCTGTATAATAAAAGTTTACTTATCTAAGTTACTATACTACTGTAGCTGACCTGCCTTCTATGATCCTCTGAGGCCAGAAACTGCAGTTTCTGACACTTATCACCACATCCTAAAAACAGCCAAGGATTAAATAAAACCACGGTGGCACATGTGGTGGATGAGCTTGGTTATGTGGCTGGTCAGTCACTGAGCCTGACCTGGATGAGGCTGCTGCTGACTACTAAGTGTTCTGGCTTGATGGGTAGGGAGTTGGAAGGAACCTGACTGGAAAATTGGTGATCAGAGGTGACGGAGTGGGTGGGTGAGTACCCTCATAGAAGCAAGGAGCGGGGGTGGGGGTGGGATAGGAGATCTGCAGAGGGGAAACAGGAAAGGGGGATAACATCTGAAATGAAAATAAATAAAATAACCAATAAAAATATTAAAAAAAAAAGATTGGCCAGCACTTCTACCTCATAAAGGTCTTGTCTAACCCTGGGGTTCAGAAAAAAACACCAGAACCCCATACCTTCCCTAAGGTCCCTGCTGGATCAATCTCTTAACTCTTTATTATCATAGCTCCATTAGATCCAGCAGACACCGGCTCTCTCTGGCCTGTCTCTTAAGTTAAACTCCCATCCTTCCTCTACTGTCTCCCAGTTCCTAACAGTCATTGGCACCTCAGCTGGTGATAACCAAGTGTCCTTAATGACAATGTGTCCTGGAACTGGAGGTACAGTTCTAAGAGCTGGCCCAACAAGGGCAGAAGACTTCTCTTGTATTTCCTCATGTTGAGAAGTGGTTACATCATTGTTTCTGCACCTCCTCAGCATACACATGGATCTCATCTACTCCCCATAACCCAGCTTCATGGAACCATGTGACCAGTCCCTTCACTGTTTAAGTCTTTACCAGTGGTTAAGAGCACTTGCTGTTCTTGTCTACAACCCAGAGTTCAGTTCTCATAGCTCACATCATGGTTTAAAACTGTCTTTAACTCCAGTTCCAGAGAATTTGATACCCACTTCTGGCCTCCTCAGGTACCAGGCCTGCATGTAGTGCATATACATACAGGCAGGCAAACCACTCATACAATAAAATAAAAGCAATACGCAAAAGTCTGTAACAGTTCAAGTACTTGACATATCAAGTACTTGAGCCCTATCATGGGCTCTTATCAGGCCATGTTTAGGTGTTCCCAACTGCATGGTGAATGAGCTTGCCCTTTCTCTTTAGCTATATCTTTTCCAGATAAAGTTAAAGTTGTTGCCTTTTTCCTCATTCCCACGCTCCTCATGGCATTTCTGGATCGGAGGAAGGACTCTTTAGCTCAGATCTAATTTGTACATTTTTCTTTGCATCCTGCCAAATGTAAGAAAAGGCAACTGGGGAAGAAAGAGCTTTCATACTACACTCCATTATGGAAACAAGTCAGGACAGGAACTCAAGCCAGACAGGTGCTTGGAGGCAGAAACTGATGCAGAGGCCATAGAGGGGTGTTGCTTACTGTCTTGCGCTATCATGACTTGCTCAGTCTGCTTTCTTACAGCATAGCATCCAGGGATATCAGTTCAGCTGGGGAACCACCCACAATGGGCTGGGCCATCTCCCATACCAATTATTACATAAGAAAATGCCTGCAGGCTTGCTTCATATTTTAGGGCTTTTTTTTTCTTTTCAGTTTAGAGTCTCATTCCATGTGACTATAGCTTGTGTCAAGTTGACATAAAACCAGTCAGCAAACTATGCAACTCCTACTATGTCCTACTTAAGTTTATATGACATACCACATAAATAAGCTCAGGGATTGAAATGTTCTTTTCATTTTTCTTTTTTTTTGACACAGGTCTTGGCTTGCCTGGAACTCATTACACAGACCAGGTAGACCTGGACCTCACAGAACTCTTTTTCCCAAGTGTTGTGATTAAAGCATGCATGACCACACCCCAGTGGAATACATTCCTTAATCCATGTTGAGGAGAAGCCTATACTCATAGGAAGACAAGGCACTGAACATCAAGTAGATGGCCTCCCTGATACTGCTCACAATGACACACTACACGAGAGCTTTGTTTTTGGTTGCATAGCCTATCATCCATCTCATAAAGCCCAAAAACACCATAACAAGGAGCAAAACCATCCCATACCATATGGAGAAAGGTAGCTTTCATTTCTGTTGCTGTGATAAAACATCTTAAAAGAAACTCCATGGGAGAAGAGTTTATTTGGCTTATAGTTCTATGTAATAGTCCAGGAAATCAAGGCAAGAACTTGAAGGCAGGCCTTCAAGTTTTACTACACCACACATTATTACCTCTGGCCCAAGAACCCACTTCACAGCCAATAAAGTGCAGCAAGAACTCGAGAGGATGTTGCTTGCTGGCAAAAAGGCAAGCCAAAGCTGAACTAGCATTCAAGAACACATACTTAGTGAACAGTGCTGCTTACCGTGGACTGGGCCTTCCTAGTCTATCATCAATCAAGATAATCTCCCACTGACATGCCCACAGGTCAATCTGATTTAGGGAATACCTCAGTTGAGATTCTATTCCTAGTTAACTCATGAGTTGTACCAACAGTTAGCTTGTACAGCCAGTGTAGCAAGTGAATGCTATCCAGGATAATAGCTGTAACAAAATTTCTAGCATATAAACCCAACCTTCCACTTTTTTTAAAAATCTAAAAGCATTTTTCTCTTTAATATCCTACCAAAAATATTTATCTATTACTGGCTATCTTATATTCTTATTTGATGACTTATTTGTATTTTTCTATTTTCTTTTCTTTTTTTAATGTTAGAAAACAGCCAGGCCGGGCAGTGGTGGCACATGTCTTTAATCCCAGCACTTGGGAGGCAGAGGCAGGCAGATTTCTGAGTTCGAGGCCAGCCTGGGTCTACAGAGTGAGTTCCAGGACAGCCAGGTGTACACAGAGAAACCCTGTCTCGAAAAACAAAACAAAACAAACAATACAAAACAGAAAACAGTCAGGCATGGTGGCACAAACCTTTGGTATTAGCACTTGGGAAGTAGAGGCAAGCACATCTGTGAATTTAAGGCCAGCTTGGGCTAACAAGTGAGACTCTGCCTCTAAATAAATAAATAGCAAACATGTTAATTTTAATAGAATTCTGATATACCAGCAATGACAGGAAACACGAACAGTCTTGGAGACTTTTGTTTTCCAATAAAACTAAACCAGCTTGAGGTTTAAGTCCTTTTTGTAACAAGCACTTAAAAATTGCTTTTCCTTAAAGGCATTTATTTCTACCTGGTAAATTTGGTCCACAGGACCCCATCCAGATGTTTGTGCATACTCAGAAGAATTGTGCCAAAAGAACTACATCACTAACCATCAATTCTGTTTCTTTACAGCCCTTTCTGTACCAAGTCATTTTACAAAGGACTCTGTAGAGAGCAGATGAATAGATTGTATGTATGTAACGGAAGGGGATTCGGCAGGAGAGCTTATAGAGTGGGGCTGGTTAGTTCAATAATGGCTGTGTGATGGGCTGACCAGTAGCTGTTCAGTCTGTGAAACTGGATGCCTGAGTCGTCTCACTCTGGCAGTAAAGACCTGGAAAAATTCTTGAAGAGTTGCTTCTACTGTGTGCATGTTGGAAGGCCAAAAGGTGTATGTGGAGGACTGTGGCAGCAGCCACCTCACAGCAATAGACACACTGACCAGTTAAGAAGAAAACACTTCTGAGCAGGAGAGTTTTCTCCTAAGGTATCTTTATATCCTAGCCCAAAAGCAAAAGGTCTCACCATAGGCCTGTTCTTGATTGTGGCCTTGATCAATGCTATGATGGGAAGTCATCTTGCCCCATGAGGGACTGAGACACTAAACGGTCCCTATACTTATCAGTGAGGAGTGTAAATGAGCTCTCGCCTATGTGGACACTGCCACAGGCCTCTTATAAGCATTTCCATGCATAAAGGTCCTACCCAATTCAGTGTTATGTATAGGAACCAGCAGAAGAGTGAGAGACAAGGACAGCCATTAACCAGGATGCACAGAACCAGTCCACCGACAGCCAGGTGCAACCATACATCTTCTTCACTTATACATCCACTGAGGCTAGATTTTTTTTTTCAAAGTGGGTTATTAACAGCTAAACTGTTTAAGTAATGAAGGCATTCTATATGGGGAGGGCACTCATAGTGGGTGCTAAATAAAATCCCAATGCCAAGAATGAGATACCTGCTTTAATTTGTTGGCCAAGGAGACCCCCGAGGTACAACCATAATGGTTACTATCACTGCTCCTGGTTTCACACCAAAACTAGATGGTAAGACCTTGGTGGCTAAGAGCCCACAGCTACTGGTGAAGCCGCTAAATGAGGGCTGTGGTACAGGATCTCAATGCTCAGTCATAGCTGGCCGTTTATACCACCCCGCCAAGGTTCAAAACACTACAAAATGTAACAGCAAGATAGACTGCTAACAATTTCCTTTGACTTCAAACGAGGAGGCTGGAGACTTGGGAAGTAAACAACTAACAAACTGCAGAAAACTAAGCCTTAAAAGATTTACAAGGTCTTCTTCAAAGGTTACAAAAGCAGTAAATAATTGCTGAGAGAAGAGACTTTCCCGTCAGATGAGCTAGCTGCTTACAAGCTTTGCAGAGATCCCCAGAGTGGTAGTTCCTGTGATTACTCAGGCTAGGGTAGCATTTTGAAGATGCAGCTGTAAGTTGTCCACGGTCCTAGAAGTAATCCTAATACAGCCACTGTTTTGCCTAGCTGGACTTTGGTGGAATCATTTTCTGGGGCATGTAGACATTTGCGTGTGAGTTCTTTCATGTCTTTGAAGATGACTGTTGCGACTGAAGGCTTTGCCACACTGTTTACATCCATAGGGTTTTTCTCCAGTGTGGGTTGTTTCGTGCCTCTGAAGATGACCGTGACATATGAAAGCTTTACCACATTCTTTACATACAAAGGGTCTGTCTCCAGTATGAATTTTTTCATGTAATTGTAGGTTACTGTAACATCCAAAAGCTTTGCCACATTCTGTACAAACAAAAGGTCTGTCTCCAGTATGAATTTTTTCATGTAACTCAAGATTACTGTAACATTCAAAAGATCTGCCACACTGTTTACATATAAAGGGTCTGTCTTCAGTATGGGTTTGTTCATGTCTCTGACGATGGCTGTTAAGTCTAAAAGCTCTACCACACTGTTTACATATGTAGGGTTTTTCCCCTGTATGAATTTTTTCATGAACTTGAAGATCACTGTGCCGTCTAAAGGCTTTCCCACAGTGTTTGCATTCATGACGTTTTTCTCCAGTATGAATCTTTTCATGTACCTGCAAGGCACCAGGAAATATAAATGCTTTCCCACATCGTTTACATTCATAGGGCTTCTCTCCAGTGTGAATTCTTTCATGTAAGTGAAGGTAACTGTGGTATCGAAAGGCTTTCCCGCACTGTTTGCATTTATATGGCTTTTTCTCAGTATGGATTCTTTCATGTCTTCGAAGTGAACTATAAGAACTCAGAGACTTCCCACATTGGTTACACTCATAACATTTTCCCACAGCAAGAGTTCCTCCATGTGCGCACAGTGAACTAATATCCACAGAGGTCTTTCTATATTCCTTGTAGTGACAGGGATTGTTTCCACTATGAGTTTCCTGATGTGTTTCCAATGTACCTGGAAAACCAAAGTATTTTAAGCATACTTCACATTCACATGGCCCATTCACAACGTGAGTTCTCATGTACCGCTGGAAGGTTCTCAGAGAATCCGAGTTATACTGCTTGGTCACATATCTCTCCTGCTCATGTGCATCACACTGGGAGTGAGGTGTGGTACGCCTAGAGGACAAATGACTTGGGGAAGCCTTTCCCCACACACTGTGATCCCATGGGGCTAACCCAGTGGGACTTCTCGTGTTCATACTGAGTTTTGGTTTCCAAGTCAAGTTTTCTGCATCTTGATCACCACCTTCATTCTCAGCGAAGGTCTGAAACATGTGACTTCTGTAAAGGAGACATAAATCACAACAGAAAAAGGACGAGCCATTTAGTCATGGCTGTTTTACTACCGACCTTTTATTAGAGAGCTCCAAAACTCAGACCAAGTTTATGCCTGTTGCAGATCTGAGTGGTCATTACTCAACAGACTGATGTCCTACATGCTGACTCTCATAGAGCTTGGATCAAAAAAGTGATATTCATTGGTTCAAGTCTCTAGAATACTCCCAAGTGAAATGCTAGGGCATACTCATCAGCATGCTTACATTTTAGTACTTATTACTGTTGTTTTGGTAAAAGATATTTGAATGAAAAAATTCACATTGTGACTATTTGTTTGGTTTGGTTCTTTGTAAAATCTCACAGCACATCAAAATTCCTATAAAGACTTCCTGTCACAGTCCCCACTGAAGAACAACAGAATTCTTCAAACCCTGTGAGCATGTGTCTGGAATGGAGGAAACCCTGAGTGAGTGAAGTCCTGAGATGTGTATTTTGACATGGCATGACCTGTTGAAGACTAAGACTATACCTGGCCCATGGTAAATTGGCAACACACTTAAGAGGGATGGCAACGCTTCCTTTGGGAGTCTGAGACTGAGTGTACGAACAAAACTAATCAATGTGTATAAAGACTAGCAGCTACAGCTTCCTCCCCCCACATACTTATAGCCTAAGACGGTCCACCTACAGAGCTCTCCTATCCAGACTAGCTAACCATTCCCTGTACTATAGCTAACAGACACCGAGGTCCCAGGCTGCAGCATCAGTGTTGGTAGTGCTGCTAGAGAACACGACCTGATCACAGCTTCAATGTTCCTTCGTCACTCCCTCACCACTCTTAGCCAGGATTCCTGATCCCAAGCTACAGGGCACTGGCAGCCATGAACCACAAAGTCATAAAAGACAAGAGCAAGCTGAGGTGCCAAACACACCAAGCTCATGTGGGACACGATCAGGAGAGGTGGGTCTTTGTGTCTGATGAGCATCTCTTTGTGGAACTGCTCAAGGTTTCCATGGATAAGAAAGTGTTCAGATTCATTATGAAGAGAATGGGCAGACCATCCACATTATGCAAGACAAAGCCGGAGAATTTGGCTAATATACTAGCAGCCAGAAGGAAAGCTGGGGCAAAAAAAGCCTGTCCCCTCTCAATAAATGTTTGTATGTTAAATAGGATCCTTTAAGTCCTTCTGGCCTGCGCCTTCCACTGGGGCAGACCATCAGCTTGTCTGGCCCCTGAAGATCTCACAGTCTAAAGGCCTCCCAGGAGATCTGCTGCACCCTAGGCAACAGGAAAGGGATCTTCCCAGATAACTGCAACAGCTGGGAACCCCACCAGGAGCCCAGTGTACTCTGTACCCATACCCTTTGCTTAAACTCCACCTCTCTTCCAGCCTGCGCCTTCTGCTGGGGCAGACCATCAGCTTGTCTGCCCCTCTGAAGACCCCACAGTCAAAAGGCCTCCCAGGAGATCTGCTACAGCCAGGGCCACAGGTCTCTCAGGGAACCTGCAGCAACCCAGAGATCTAGGAGGCAGGATCTAGACAGAGACACCCTGGTCAGTTAACACTAGAGATAACCAGATGATGAGAGGTAAGTGCAAGACCGTAAGCAACAGAAGCCAATATACTTTAGCACCATCACAACCCAGTTCTCCCACCACAGCAAGCCCTGGATATACCAACACACTTGAAACCAGGATGTTGACCTAAAATCCTTTTTCATGAAGGTAATAGAGTCTTTTAAGAAGGATATAAATAACTCACTGAAAGAAACACAGGAGAACAAAGGTAAACAGGTAGAAGTCCTTAAAAAGAAATCCCTTAAAGGAATACAGGAAAACAGAATCAAACAGGTAAAGGAATTGAACAAAGCGGTCCAAGACCTAAAAATGGAAGTAGAAACAATAAAGAAATCACAAAGGGAAGCAAACCTGGAGATGGGAAACCTAGGAAAGAGGTCAGGAGCTACAGATGCAAGAATCAACAACAGAACACAAGGACAGAAGAATCTGAAATACAGAAGATACCTTAGAAGATATTAACACAACGTTCAAAGAAAATACAATACATAAAAAAACTCATAACCCAAAACATCCAGGAAATCCAGGACACAATGAAAAGACCAAAACCTAAGGATAATAGGACTAGAAGAGCTTGAAGATTCCCAGCTCAAAGGACCTGAAAATATCTTCAACAAAATCGTAGAAGAAAATGCCCAGTTGGGCAGTGGTGGTGCACGCCTTTAATCCCAGCACTTGGGAGGCAGAGGCAGGTGGATTTCTGAGTTCAAGGCCAGCCTGGTCTACAGAGTGAGTTCCAGGACAGCCAGGGCTCCACAGAGAAACCCTGTCTTGAAAAAAAAAAAAAAAAAAAAAAGAAAAGAAAACGTCCCCAATCTCAAGAAAGAGATAGCCAAAAAGGTACAAGAAGCCTATAGCCAAATGGATTAGACCAGAAAAGAAAATCCTCCTGTCACATAATAATCAAAACACTAAATGCACAGAACAAAGAAAGAATATTAAAAGCTGTAAGGAAAAAAGGCCAGGCCGGGCGGTGGTGGTGCACGCCTTTAATCCCAGCACTTGGGAGGCAGAGGCAGGCGGATTTCTGAGTTCGAGGCCAGCCTGGTCTACAGAGTGAGTTCCAGGATAGCCCGGGCTATAAGAGAAACCCTGACTCGAAAAACAAAACAAAACAAAACAAAACAAAAAAAAAAAAAAAAAGAAAAAAGGCCAAGTAACATATAAAGGCAGACCTATCAGAATTAAACCAGATTTCTCAACAGAGACCTTAAAAGCCAGAAGAGCCTGGACAGAGGTCATGCAGACCCTAAGGGAACACAAATGCCAGCCCAGGTTGTTATACCCTGCAAAACTCTCAATCATCATAGATGGAGAAACCAAATATTCCATGACAAAACCAAATTTAAATCATATCTGTCTACCAATCCAGCCCTACAGAAGATTCTAGAAGGAAAACTCCAACACAAGGAAAGTACCTACACCAAAGAAAAAACAAGAAATTAATCATCTAGCCGGGCAGTGGTGACGCACGCCTTTAATCCCAGCACTTGGGAGACAGAGGTAGGCGGATTTCTGAGTTCGAGGCCAGTCTCGTCTACAGAGTGAGTTCCAGGACAGCCAGGGCTACACAGAGAAACCCTGTCTCGAAAAACCAAAAAAAAAAAAAAAAAAAAAAAGGAATTAATCATCTAACAACAAAAACCAAAAGAAGAGAATCACACACACATAATGCCATCTACAACAACAAACATAACAAGAACTAACAATCATCTGCCTTTAATATCTCTCAGTATCAAAGGACTCAATTCCATAATAAAAAGACATAAGCTAACAGACTAGATATGCAAGCAGGATTTGGCTGCATATAAGAAACACACCTCAATGACAAAGACAGATACTTCCTGAGTAAAGGCTGGAAAAAATCTTCAAGCAAATGGTCTCAAGAAACAAGCAGGAGCAGCCGTCCTAAAAACCAATAAATTAGACTTTCAACCAAAAGTTATCAAGCGAGATGGGGAAGGACACTTCATATTCATCAAAGGAAAAATCCGCCAAAAGTCTCAATTCTGAACATCTGTGCCCCAAATGCAAGAGCACCCACATTCATAAAAGAAACTTTACTAAAAGCTCAAAACACACATTGAACCCTATACAATAATAGTGGGAGACGTCAACACCCCACCTCTCACCAATGGACAGATCATTGAAACAGAAACTAAACAAGAGACACAGTAAAAATAAGAGAGGTTATGAACCAAATGGATTTAACAGATATATACAGAACATTTCACCCTAAAACAAAGAATATATGTTCTCAGAACCTCACAGAACCTTCTCCAAAACTGACCATATATTCTGTCACAAAACAAGCCTCAACAGATACAAGATTGAAATAATCCCAAGTACCTCATCAGATTACCATGGACTAAGGCTAGACTTCAATAACAACAAAAACAACAGAAAACCCACATACCCATGGAAACTGAACAACTCTCTACTCAATAGTAACTTGTTCAGGAAAGAAATAAAGAAAGAAATTAAAGACTTCCTGGAATTCAATGAAAATGTTGACACATCATACCCAAACTATGGGACACAATGAAAGCAGTGCTAAAAGGACAATTCATAGGACTAAGCGCCCTGGTAAAGAAACTGGAGAGATCCTACACTAGCAACTTGAGAGCTCTAGAACACCTGAGAGCTCTAAAACAAAAAGAAGCGAACATACCTAAGAGAAGTAGAGGCAGGAAATAGTCAAACTCAGGGCCTAAATCAACCAAATTGAAACAAAGAGAACAATACAAAGAATCAACAAGACCAAAAGCTGGTTCTTTGAGAAAATCAACAAGATAGATAAACTCCTAGAAAATTAACTAAAGGGCCCAGAGGCAGTACCCAGTTAACACAATCAGAAATGAAAAGGGAGACATAACAACAGAAACTGAGGAAATTCAAAACATCATCAGATCCTACTACAAAAGCTTATACTCAACAAAACTAGAAAATCTAGATAATGACTTTCTAGACAGATAACACATACAAAAATTAAATCAAGAGCAGGTAAACTATCTAAATAGGCCCATATCCCCTTTGGAAATAGAAGACGTTATTTATAAACCTTCCAACCAAAAAAAGCCTAGGGCCAGATGGCTTTAGTGTGGAATTCTACCAGACCTTCAAAAAGAGCTAATACCAACACTCCTCAACTATTCCATGAAATAGAGACAGAAGGAACACAACCTAATTCATTCTATGAAGCCACAATTTCTCTGATACCTAAACCACACAGAGACCCAACATAGAAAGAGAACTTCAGACCAATTTCACTTATGAATATTGATGCAAAAATTAAAATTTCACAAACTGAATCCAGGAACACATCAAAACCAACATTCACCACGATCAAGTACACTTCATCCCAGAGATGCAAGATTGGTTCAATATATGAAAATCCATTAATGCAATCCACTATATAAACAAACTCAAAAGAAAAAAAAATCATGACCATCTCATTAGATGGTGAAAAAGCATTTGACAAAATATAACACACCTTCATGTTAAAAGTATTGGAAAGATCAGGAATTCAAGTCCCATACCTAAACATAATAAAATCAATATACAGCAAACCGACAGCCAATATCCAATTAAATGGAGGGAATCTTGAAGCAATCTCACTAAAATCAGGGACTAGACAAGGATGCCCACTCTCCCCCTACCTATTCAATACAGTACTCAAAGTTCTAGCTAGAGCAATAAGACAAAAAAAGAGATCAAGGGGATACAAACTGGCAAAGAAGAAAATAAAGGTATCATTATTTGCAGATGATGTGAGAGTATACATAAGCAACCCCAAAACTTCTACCAGAGAACTTCTATAGCTGATAAACAACTTCAGCAAAATGGCTGGACATAAAATTAACTCAAACAAGTCAGTAGCCTTCCTCTATACAAATGATAAACAGGCTGAGAAAGAAAACACCCTTCACAATAGTCACAAATAATATACAATACCTTGGGGTAACTCTAACCAAACAAGTGAAAGATCTGTATGACAAGCACTTCAAGTCTCTCAAGAAAGAAATTGAAGAAGACCTCAGAAAATGGAGAGATCTCCCATGCTCATGGATTGGTATGATTAACAGGAAAAATGGCCATCCTACCAAAAGCCATCTACAGATTTAACACAATCCCCATCAAATTACAACACAATTCTTCAAAGACATGGAAAGAGCAATTCTCAATTTCATCTGGAAAAACAAAAAAATCATGATAGCAAAAACAATTTTTAAAAAAGATTTATTTATTTATTTTATTTATATAAGTACACTGTTGCTGCCTTCAGACACACCAGAAGAGGGCATCATACTCCACTGAGCCACAATGTGGTTGCTGGGAACTGAACTCAGGACTTCTGGAAAAGCAGGCAGTGCTCTTAACTACTAAGCCATTTTTTTCCAGCCCGTAAAAACAAACAATAAAAGAATGGCTGGGGGAATCACCATTCCTTACCTCAAGCTATACTGCAGAGCAATAGTGATAAAAACAGCATGGTATTGGTACAGAGACAGACCCGCTGATCAATGAAATAGAATTGAAGACCCAGAAATAAAACCACACACTTATGACCACTTGATCTTTTACAAAGAAGCCAAAAATACACAATGGAAAAAAGAAACATCTTCATTAAATGGTGCTGGTCTAGCTGGTAATCAGTATGTAAAAATATGAAAATAGACCCATATTTGTCACCTTGCACAAAGCTCAAGTCCTAAGTGGATCAAGGACCTCAAACCAGATACACTGAATCTAATAGAAGAGAAAATGGGAAAGAGCCTCGAATTCATTGACTCAGGGGGAAATAAATTTCCTAAACAGAACTCCGATGGCTAACACTCTAAGATCAAGAATTGACAAGCAGGACCTCATGAAACTGAAAAGCTTCTGTAAGGCAAAATACACCATCAATAAGACAAAATGGCAACCTACAGATTGGGGAAAAAAACTTCACTAAGCCCACATCTGATAAAGGGTTGATATCCAAAATATATAAAGAACTGAAGAAGCTAACCTCCAAAAAAACCAAACAACCTTATCAAAAAATGGGGTATAGAGGTAAACAGAGAATTTACAACAGAGGAATCTTGAATGGCTGAGAAGCACTTAAATGCTCAGCATCCTTAGTCATCAGAGAAATGCAAATCAAAACGACCCTGAGATTCCACCTCACACCAGTCAGAATGGCTAAGATCAAAACCTCAGGTGACAGCCCATATTGGTGAGGATGTGGAGAAAGAGGAACACTCCTCCATTGCTGGTGGGACTGCAAGCTAGCACAACCACTCTGGAAATCAGTCTGGAGGTTCCGCAGAGAACTGGAAATAGATCCACCTGCAGACCTAGCTATACTACTCTTGGGAATATATCTAAAATATGAGCCACCATACCACAGGGGCATGTGCTCCACCATGTTCATACATACCACAGGGGCACGTGCTCCACCATGTTCATAGCCTTATCTGTGATAGCCAGAAGCTGGAAACAACCCAGATGTCCCACAATAGAAGAATGGATACAGAAAATGTGGTTCATTTACACAATGGAGTACTACTCAGCTGTTAAGAACAATGACTGGGCTGGGGAGATGGCTCAGTGGTTAAGAGCACTGACTGCTCTTCCAAAGGTCCTGAGTTCAATTCCCAGCAACCACATGGTGGCTCACAGCCATCTGTAATGGGATCTGATGCCCTCTTCTGGTGTGTCTGAGGACAGCTACAGTATACTCATATACATAAAATAAATCTTAAAAAAAAAAGAATGAGGACATCCTGAGTTTTGCAGGCAAATGGATGGGACTAGAAAATATCATCCTGAGTGAGGTGACCCAGATGCAAAAGGATATGCATGCTGTGTACTCAGTAATGAGTGGACATTAGCTACAAAAGTGCAGAACACCTAGGACACAACCCACAGAACTCAAGAAGGTTGACAAGCAGAAAGGTCCAAGTGAGGATGCCTCAATCTCACTTGGGAGAAAGTAGAAAGCAATCATGGAGGCAGAGAGGGAGGGGCTGAGTGGAAGAAGAGACAGGGAGGGGAAAGGGGGAATATGATCAGGTATGGGGGTGGAACAGGAGAGAAGCCTTGAGGGCCAGCACAATGAATGGAAATATGCAATCTCCGTGGGTGAGAGGTGGGGGGACCCTCTAGAGAGTACTAGAGACCTGAGAAGTGAAAGAGTCTCAGAACTTAAAAGGGAGGGATCTTAGATGAAATACCCTACAGTGGGGAGAGGGAACTTACAGAGCCCGCCTCCAGCAGAAAGAAAGTAGAGGGATGGGATTGCCATCCCACAGTCAAAAACCTCTGACCAAGAATTGTCCCTGTCTAAAAGAAATGCAGGGACAAAAATGGAAAAGCGACTGAGGGAAAGGAGGTCCAGTGACCAGCCTAACTTGGGATCCATCTCAAGGGAAAGCTCCAAGGCCTGACACTATTACTGATGCTATGGTGTGTGTAAAGACAGGAGCCTAGCATTGCTGTCCTATGAGAGGCCCAAGCAGCAGCTGACTGAGACAGATGCAGATACACCCAACCAACGGACTGAAATTGGGGACCCCTATGGTTGAATTAGGGAAAGGCTGGAAAAAGTTAAAGAGAAGGGTGACCACATAGGGAAACCAGCAGTCTCAATTAACCAGGACCCCTGAGGTCTCTCAGACACTGAGCCACCAACCAACCAGGTAGCATACATGAGTCCCCCACCCCACTCCCTGAAACACATACAGCAGAGGACTGCCTAGTCTGGCTTCATTGGGAGAAGACATGCCTAACCCTCGAGACTTGAGGCCCCAGGGAGTGGGGAGGCCTGATGGAGCAGGGTGGGAGTGAGGTGGGGACATTGGGGGTTGGAAGGCGAGAAATGGAATGAGGAACTGTGGGAGAGTTGACCAGGAGGAGGGTAATGACTAGGCTGTAAAAAATAAAAAGTAATTTAAAAAATTCCTCAAAAGCCTGTTGATTCTATCTCTGCATGTACATTACCTCAGATTTCTTCCAGGATTTATATAATGGTCTTCCAAATTCTGGTCTTCCCATTTGTGTCCTAAAAAGAGTCCCAAAAAATTTAAGATAAATTAGAAATTCCTAAAAAAGTAGTTTCTTGAGTTGTTTTACATCAAAACCTGGTCTGATTTATATAACATAATCTGCCTTTCAATAGCCTCAATCCCGAAGAGCATCTACAGCAAGAGACTCGTGCCCCCTCATTTACAGAGTGAAGGTAGGATGACAGCCTTACCTATGGCAGCGAGGCTCCTGCAGGTCTCCAGCATCACATCTCTGTACAGACTCCTCTGGGAAGGGTCCAGCAAAGCCCACTCGTCCTGGGTGAACTGCACAGCCACATCCTCAAAGCTCACTGAGACCTAAACATTGCACATACTTGACTGACCACTCTGTGGGATGCACACGTCCTCCACCACACGGAAGTCGTCATGCAAGCACCGAAGGCTGCGGAAGGAGTGGCACTAGAGCAGCACTCTCTCACTCCTGGGCTCAGGACACAGGATGTGCTGCTGCTCTGCCCCAGTCCTGATACAGTGATTGCTACTTCCTGTCTCACAGCCCTCCCCCTGGGGTCTGGAACATTGTCAACAGAACTGACATCTCTCTGACCTCCTTGAGTACAACACAGACACACATAAATACATAATAAAATAAGCACAAGCTTTACAATGTAACAATAAGCAAATATATGTGTGTATATGTATGAAGATAAAAACTATTGGTATAGAAATAGGTTCACTTCCTTGATAATGATGAAACAGTGAAAAGTCAAGCACTTGACTTCTCATGCTGACACATCAACAGAAATCAACCACAGAGGTACTGAACCTGGCAAACGGAAGAAGTTACGGATGAAAGGAGTCTAGGCTGGGCATGCTGGCACACCACACCTTTAATCCTTGCACTAGGAAGCCAGAAGCAGGCAGATCTCTGCAAATCTGAGACCAGCCTGGTCTGCATGGCTAATTCCAGGCTAGCCATAGCTACACTGTGAGAGATTCTGTCTCAAGAAAACAATTGATTCTACCCAAACACACCACTATTTCCCAGAATCAGAACTATAAGCTACTATATCCATCAGATGTGGTGGGACACACTTTTAACTTCAGATGTCAGGTGACTGAGGGAAATCTCTAGTTCAAGTTTAGCTTGCATCTTGAAATAAATAAAAACAATTGGCTTGATTCCACAAAGGGGATGGTTCATTCTTTCTTCCTTCCCTTCTCTCCTCCTGCTCCTCGCCATCTTCTCTTTATTTTGGTCATTTGAGACAGGTTTCTCTGTATCACCTTGGTTGTCACAGAACTAGCTCTGTAGACCAGCCTGTCCTTGAACTCAGAGATTTGCCTGCCTCTGTCTCTAGAGCACTGGGATTAATGGCATTCACCAGACTTGAGGGATAGTTCTTAACATTACCCTTTATGGCAAAATGATGCATCTTGGACTCCAAAATACTTTGAAATGGTGATTTTGTTTACAGAAGTTGAAGATACATCACACCAAAACAGGGTCTAGGACAGTTATACTAGCACTATGCCTAACAAGGGACCAACCAAGACGAGGAAGTGCACACCGATGTCAAGGAACAGAGTATACACACTCAATCACAGCTCTATACACACATGATAAAAGACTTGAAGATGTAGTTGGAAAAGCATCCATCAAGTTCTCAGCCAATAAGTAAATGTGTGAATCTACATCCAACAGTAAATAGTAAAGTTGTAGTTTTAAAACTGCAGGGCTTGTTTTTTTAAAAAAAAAAAATCAGATTTTTAAAAAAACATTCCTTTCTGTGTGCATGTGTGGCTATGCATTGCCATGATGCATGTATGAAGTGAGGAACAGAAGTTCAAAGAACTCCTGTGACACTCTCTCCTTCTACCAAGTGGCTTCTTGGTAGAAGGATTAACCCAGGTCTTCAGGCTTGGAAGCAGAAGCTGCCATGCACTGAGGGATTCTGAGGAACCAAGAATCTAAGTATTTTGGTTTTTCTTTCTTTCTTTTGAGAGAGGCTCTCACTATGTAATCCTGACTTGCCTGAACTCACTACATAGACCTGGCTGACCTAGAACTTACAGAGATCCCCCTGCTTCTGTCTCCAGCTCAGCAAGAATCTAAGTTTAAGTAAAAGGAAAACCATTCTCTTCTTCATGTTCACTTGATGGCAAGAGCCTTTAAACACGCAGGACCACACCACCTAAGGAACCCCAGTGGCCAACCTTGTCAGACTGAAAACTGCTGCAGAAATTCATGGAATTGCAAGAAAGTTAGAATACGAGAACAGCCCTGGGAAAGAGCAAAGCAGAGATTCATGATTCACAATTTCAAAACTAACTTAAAAGCAATTATCCTCAAGGTAGGCCAAGGCTGCAGATAGGCCTAAGGAGTAATAGAGCACTTACCCAGCTATGCAAAGCTGTTGCATTTAACTCCCAGATTTGGGGGGGGGAGGAGTTAACTTTTTTTTAATAAAAAGAAAAAATAAACAATACTACGCTCTGGGATATGGTCCAGTTTAAGGTAAGACAACCTGAGTTCGATCCGTTAACCGCGGAAGGAGAGCACTCACTCCATAAAGTTGTCCTGTGACCTCACACCTGCCACACTGGACACACACACCGGGACACACACACATATCAAGAAACAAGGCTTATTTCAGCAGCAGTCAGCGGCTGCAGCGCACCGCAGGGGTCCTCCACTCCGTACACTCCCGGGTCCCGCTCCAGGTTTCTCCTCCCTTGTCCTGGGGCGGCCCAGGGTGGCCCCTCTCCTCCGACAGCTACCGGCTTACTCTGAAGCCTGCACGCAGGGTTACAACCGGGTGCGGCGTTAGCTGCAAGCTGTCACAGCCCGCACGTGCGCGGCCGACGGAGCAGTGGGCAGACCCGCTCGGGCTCGGGGCGACCCCGCCCAAGCTGGTGTTCTGGGCTCCCCAGCGTGCTGCCCTCGTCTCCCCGGGTCAGCGTGGGCCCCTCCGGCCAGCCGCAAGCCGCCCGGTTACCGGCCCGGGGCTCGCCGCTTCGCCTTTTAAACTCACATCTTCGCAGGAACCCGAACTTTCCAAGACGCCCACCCCACCTCTCCCCCAGTCCCAGGAGGGACCCACCACTCCGACTCCCGCGGCCCAGCAGGCCGCTCTTCCCTGTCTGGGGACAGAGACCCCACGCTCACCATCGCGCGGCTCCGAGCTCGCCCACGTCCCCCTCAGCTCGGGACCGCGGAGGCCACAGCGAAGGGGGTCGCACGCACCGCTCCTCCTCCGCTTCCCCGCCGACTGCACAGCGGGATTGCCGGAAGGAGCCCGCCTCCCACCGCTCTCTGGCGCTCCTGATTGGACCGCTTGTCTGGAGACCCTGATTGGCTAGGGGCGGACCTCGCGGGGGCAATTTGCATAAAAACCGGACCTGCCAGGGTCCTGCGGGGTACTTTAACCTTTGGTGATCTCTTAAAGAGTAGATCCTATTCGTCTTGAGCCATTGCTGTCCACAGTGCATTTATCAACTCAATGTCCAGTGTAGTGGTTTCTTGCCTCAGACCTAGAATTGGTATTGGACCTTGAGTCTGATGTACTCCGTGGACCTGGATTTTTACTCAGGCAAGCCAAAGATTTTGATAGTGGACTGTCAAGTGGGGCTTGGTGGTGCAAGTCCCCTTAATCGCAGCACTCATTCTGGTGGTAGAGAAAGGCAGATCTCTGTGAGTTCTAGGCCAGCCTGGTCTACATTGTAAAATCTGGTCCAGCCAAAGTTGCATAAACTCTGGTCATTGTTAGAGGTCAGAACACACAGGCTCTTTCTCTGGGGCAGCGTTATTAAGACACTATCTGTACTGTGATTTTACAACTCTTTTTCTTTTTTTTTTTTCCCCGAGACAAGGTTTCTCTGTGTAGCCCTGGCTGTCCTGGAACTCACTCTGTAGACCAGGCTGGCCTCGAACTCAGAAATCCGCCTGCCTCTGTCTCCCAAGTGCTGGGACTAAAGGCGTGCACCACCACCGCCCGGCAAAGGAGTTTTATATATTCAATTCTTCAGAGAGATACCGAACCTTAGAGAAATGGCAAAAAACGGCTGTGAATTTTGGCACGAGAGAAATTTTTTTTAAGTCCCCCCCTGGGGGGGGGGGGAGAATTTTCTGTTCTCTATCTCTTATAGGCCAGTTCTGCCATCTTCTCAAATTTTCCATCCCACTGGCTTCGGACACAAAGCCTTACTAAGGAATAACTCGGGATTTGAAGTTTCCTCTTTTCCTTATCGTGGTTTAAGTTACATAGTAGACCACTGGTAACTCTCCAGCTCTCAGCTATGGGCAGGTACCAGCCACTGCTGGGAAGAGACATGTCCAATACCTACTGCTTATCTGTAACTGGTGAACACTAGATGCACTTCATACTGAAACAGACTTCGACAGTCTAATTCAGGGGTTCTTGACTTGTGTGTCTCCACCCCTATAGACCATCAGAAAACACAGATATTTACACTATTATTCACAATAGTAGCAAAATTATAGTTTATACCGTAGCCAAGAAAATAATGTTATGGTGGGGGGGTCACCACATCATGAGGAACTATTTAAAGTGTCACGGCATTAGGAAGGGTGAGAATCACGGGTCTCACATTATCACAGACACTAGCTTAGACTAAATCATGTGGTGTTGTAACTTTAATTTTTTCAAAACCTATTTTTAAAGATGGTTCTTAAATGCTTTAACCTTCCTTCTAGGCCACCACACTCCAGAGGTAGTGGGAAAGAAAGGATACAGGGGAAACGGACCTGTTTAGAAAGGTTCTTTGGAGCAACTCCCACCTGTGTTGTCTGGAAATCAGCTGTTCAGTTCACAGATCATCAACAACAGCAGCTCGATCCATGTGGAAACACTTCACAGATTCACCAACAGTCAAGTTTGATAGAGTTGTGATAGCAGACATGAATCAGCAGCGATGGCACTACGTAGCAGAGGCAGCCAGGCCTCAGCCTCGGCAACAGAAGGGACCAACCAGCAAGAACGCCAGGAGGAGTTCTTGGCTGTGTTTCTCTCAGTGACCCACAAGCAGTGCACAGCTCGCTCTGTAAGCAAGCATAGCTCCATCACTGTTCGCTGAGTCCTGTTTATACCCTCCAAACATCACGTGTGCTCCATGTGTCCTGCCTCAGCATGTGCACCTGTCTCCACTGACATCACTCTGCCAATCAGCCCAAATCTGCAGAAGTGGCAGGAAGCTGCAGCACACCACCAGGGGTTTTTTGGTGCATTTCTCTCTATGGAGTCCTGACAACTGCAGCTCAACTACACAGTGTTTGGTGGACAATCCATGCATGTGGTTAGCAAAGAATCCTTCCTCCCGTGTCCTTTTGTGTGCTTGCTTTATCAGGGCATCCTTTCACCTGTGTCCGCTTCAGGAAAAACACTCTTTTATGTGTTTGCCTTAGCAAACCCCCATCCAATACAATCAATTCTCCAAAGAACCCTTAAGTGTCCACTTCATGCTGTTGAAACGGCTGACACTCAAAAGCCAATATTTCTTTAATATACACAAATCAAATATGTCTTTATGTCTTTTTGGGGGGAATGTCGAAGTCCCCTTTGTAACCCCTCTTATTGAGGGGAAAACTCTTAATCTTAGCTTTAAATATCCCTTTCCTGTTCTTTTTTCCAAGTAGGCTCTGTCTTGGTTATATTTTGTCCACTTGACACAACCTAGTGTAATCTGTGAAGAGGATCTCAGGGCATTTTCTGGATCAATGACTGATGTCCCCAGCTAACTGAGATGGTGGTACCCTTGGGCAGGTGGTCCTGTGTTCCATAAGAGGACAGCCACCCCTCCATTGTCTATGCTTCAGCTCCTGCTTCTAGGTTCCTGCCTTGAATTTCTTCCCTAACGTCCCTCCATGATGAATTGTAGGGGTAAGATGAAATAAACCCTTTCTTCTTCAAGTTGCTTTTGGTCCTGTTGATTTAGCACAGCAATAGAAGGGAAACTAAGGGTCTTACTTTATCCCTGGCTAGCCTAGGACTCAAACATACTCTTCTGCCTCTGACTTCAGAGTGCTTAGATTAAAAGTGTGCCAGTATTCCTGTCTCCTTTCCAGATTTAAAGAGAAGCCTTTTCTTTCCTGTAAGCTCCATTCTTGTTGTCTCTCACGTATTGTATTGTTTCTTTCCCATGCTGTTCCACATCAAGGCCAGATCATGGTCTTTGGGCCCTTTCTAACCGAGCTAATTTCTGAGGAGTAGTGCTGACTTAGCTGCTTTCATGAATCAACATTTATTTTAGTTACTTTTCTGTTGTTGGGAAGACAGTGGGACCGAGGCAGCATATAGATGAAAAGTGTTTATTTGGGGCTTCTGATTCCAGAGGATTAGAGCAGCAGTGGTGGCTGGGGCAGGAGCTAGAACTCACATCTTGAAAGACAGGCAAGAGGCAAAGAGTGCACTGGAAGGTCCATACCTCCCAATCCTTCCAGAACAGTCCTTCCAGAACAGTGCCACCAACTGGGAGCAAGTACTCAACTTGACAGGAGACAGAAGCAAAAGGATCATATATATGTCAAGGTCAGCTATTGCTACATTGTATGTTTGAGACCAGTAGGTGCTAGCTTGTGGAGAGCCGCGCTCCCCAAGAGGGCACCTGGCAGAGTGCCAAGTACTGCTTGCTACCCGATAAACAAATCCATATTAGGATTGCTTGCTGGCTGGCTGTGCTTCCATGTTTTGATGGCCTATCGGCTGTTGCCATGTGGCATTTGAGGATTGGATCATGATATGGTATATCAGGGTGTTCTGGGGGTTGCCCGGGGTCAGAAGATGGTACAAGGTTCCTGAATAAACTGCTTGAAGAAGAGTTCATAGTCGCTTCCATCTTTCCACAGGTCGGAGTGGACGGTGACACTAGCTGAGACCCTGTCTTGAGAAAACAAAATTACTAAATAAATAATACACATCAGATATCAAAAAATTGAAATAAATAACACATGCTATCTTAGTTAGGGTTTCTATTGCTATGGTGAAATACCTTGATCAAAAAGCAAGTTTGGGAGGAAAGGGTTTATTCAGCTTACATTTCCACATTGCTGTTCATCACCACAGGAAGTCAGGGCAGGAACTCACACAGGGCAGGAACCTGAGGCAGGAGCTGATGCAGAGGCCATGGAGGATGCTGATTCCTGGCTTGCTTCCCATGGCTTGCTCAGTCTACTTTTTTTATAGAACCCAGGACCACCAGCCCAGGAATGGAACCACCCCAGTGGGCTGGGCCCTCCCCCATTGATCACTAAATGAGAAAATGCCTTACAGATGGATCTCATGGAGGCATTTCCTCAACCAAGGCTCCTTCCTTTCTGATGACACTAGCTTGTGTCAGGTTGAGCACAAAGCCAGACAGTATGCATGCCGAAAGGGAAACAAAATTATTAAGGCATGTTAAAAATATGGACTTCATAAGGAAAGGGAGAGATTAGATCCCTGAAACATTGAAATGAGAATGTGGCTATTACCCCAAAGTTTCTGTCTTAAGATCATTTTAAAATATGCACCTAACTGAGAAGCCCTGCACTGTATTGACTTTCATAATGTGTGGAAGCACTGGGAGGGCGGCCATGATGATTCATCAGGGTTATTAGGGTGAGAGAGTGAGCTGTTGGCAGCCCTAATAAGCCAAGCTGGACACCATCCCTGACAGGCAAGTTATACAGCCAATCAATAGTTTAAAGAAAAAAAAAAAAGGATGTATTCAATAAAATTACATCGGTGAGAGAAGTCTAGGGACCCCAAGTTCCCCTGCTAGATCAATAAAGCAGCTTGAGGATTAATTTGAAGGTAAGAGGTTACGATGGCAGGGCAGTTCTGGTGAAGAGATGATCTGGAGGAGCCTTTCTGGAGAGGACTAACAGAGGCAGCAAGATTAACCAGGCAGGGAGGTGGCAATATACACAGAGAGGGGTCTGCCTTAGGGTCTCACTGCTGTGAAGATGCACCATGACCATGCAACTCTTATAAAGGGCAATATTTAATTGGGCCTGGTTTACAGTTTCAGAGGTTTAGTCCATTATCATTATGATGGGAACATGGCAGCTTCCAGGCAGACATGGCGCTGGAGAAGGAACTGAGAGTTCTACATCCACAGCAGAAGGAGACTGTGTATCACACTGGGCATATATTGAACATATATGACCTCAAAACCTGACTCCAGTGACACACTCCCTCCAACAAGGCCACATTTCCTAATAGTGCCACTCCCTGGACCAAACACATGAGTCTATGGAGCCATACTTATTC